TCTACCCATCTGACAAAGGGCTAATATCCAGAATCTACAAAGAACTAAAACAGATTTACAAGAAAAAAACAAACCCATCCAAAAGTGGGCAAAGGATATGAACACTTTTCAAAAGAAGACATATATGGGGCCAATAAACATATGAAAAAATGCTCATCATCACTGATTATTAGAGAAATGCGAATCAAAACCACATTGAGACACCACCTCATGCCAGTTAGAATGGCGATCATTAAAAAATCTAGAGACAACAGATGCTGGAGAGGATGTGGAGAAATAGGAACACTTTTACACTGTTGGTGGGAGTGTAAATTAGTTCAACCATTGTGGAAGACAGTGTGGCACTTCCTCAAGGACCTAGAAATAAAAATTCCATTTGATCCAGCAATCCCATTACTGGGTATATATCCAAAGGATTATAAATCATTCTATTATAAAGACACATGCACACGTATGTTCATAGTGGCACTGTTTACAATAGCAAAGACCTGGAACCAACCCAAATGCCCATCGACGATAGTCTGGCCAAGGAAAGCCTGGCACATATACACCATGGAATACTATGCAGCCATAAAAAATGATGAGCTTGTGTCCTTTGTAGGGACATGGATGAATCTGAAAACCATCATTCTCAGCAAACTGACACAAGAACAGAAAATCAAACACTGCATATTCTCATTCATAGGCGAGTATTGAACAATGAGAACACTTGGACACAGGGAGGGGAGCACCACATGCTGGGGTCTGTTGGGGGGGACAAAGGGAGGGACAATGGGAGATGGGAAGGTTAGGGAGGGATAACATGGGGAGAAATGCCAGATGTAGGTGACAGGGGGATGGAGGCAGCAACCCACATTGCCATGTGTGTACCTATGCAACAATCCTGGCAGAATAAAGTTGTACGAACTTTCTGGAAGGCAAAGAAATTTCATGTTTGTATAAAGGCTCTACAAGTGTTTTATCTTTTGGCTTAACAATCTCACTTCCAGAAATTTATCCTAAGGAAACTATTGAACAAGCATGCAAGTAGATATACAGTGCTGCTCATGGCAGCATTTTATGATAGTGAAAAATTGGAAACTAAATAAATTATACTATGCTCAATATATGTGGTCATAAAAAAATGTGTAAATCTTAGTATGGAAGGGAATTCCCAGTATACTAATTGGAAGAAATAGCAGTATTTTACTCCGTCTCTATACAACATAAAAGTCATAATTCACTTATCTGAAAGAGTATGTGAACAACTATTGTATCTGGATGCAGTGTGTGTGGGAAAAATCACTCATCTTTATTCTTTGACTTTAGTATAATGATACTTTGCTTCATTACAAATGTCTTAGTAAGCATATTTGTAACTAGGACATGTGAAACTCTCCATGTGCCAGACCACTGTTTCCCCCTATCTTTGGGTGACCTAGTTTGCATATTAGACTGAGAAGAGGTCTAGTAATAAAAACTCATTTTTCTTACCAAAATATTGTGCCCAATGCTAGGAACATGGCTGAGGGAAAGTATGATTACTATTTAAGATCACAGTAATTAATTCTTAAAAAATACTCTGAAGGGCTATAACATATAGTAAACCTATGTATAGATACAAAAATAATATACACATATGCATGCTAGTACTCTTTCCTTTGGAATCATATCAAAAATATTTAACATCCAGCCTTTACATATTAAAAACCAATATCCAAAATATATTCTCCAAATTGTAGGGCTTAGGACAAAGTTAACTTGCTCATAATACTAGTAGCCTAAATACCTGGAAATTACATGACAGGTGTCTGCCTGTGATCCTTAGTCCTTCAAATATGAAAAGCTTTAAGAAAACTTTCCTTGTTTCCAACTTCAAAATCGTCTAAAACATAACAGGTCATACATCTGACTTACCTGAAGCTATTATTGTCATGAACATAGAATTTTAAATTAGAGGGAACCATTACCCCATTGTCTGAACTACTTCTCAAAGAAAACTGCACTCCCAGGTGTAGGAAGTTCCCCATCTTCACTGGTAGTTCATGTCATTTGTGTAGGCTTTAAAAAATGAGAAAGTTCATAATGTGTGAACACCGGTGCCTTTTTCTACATTCCATTGCAGGGAAGCCTGTCACGAATATTTAGAGATGCCTACTTTGCATATTACTCTTTCCTTTACCATCTCCGGGCCTTATCTCCAGATAAATATCCCTGCTTCCTTTAATATTATGACATGATCTAAATCTTTCACACTCCTGGTAGCCTTTAAGGTAGTATGTTTTTCAGATTGGTTCTTTATTAGCCCCTTCTCAAAATCTGGCACTCTGAAATAAGCACAATAATCTGGGTATCTGAAAAGTGCTGAGGTGGTAGAAATTGTCTCCTAAGATAAGTCTCATTATCCTGCAGTCAATTAAAACACTGGGAACCCTAGGTCTTTAGAGAAGCTGCAGTACCATCAGGTCTTTTCCATCTGCTTCTTTGTACAGATGATTTGTTAATTACAAAACATTTCAGGCCTATGGAAAAATAAGTACCTGTGTATCAACCACCCAAATTAAGAAACAAAATATAATATGTGCAATGAAGACATTTACCTTTTCCCTCCCTGAGTTTCATCGTGTCTTTTATGGTTACTTGCTTTCATTCCTTTAAATATTTGAACTTCCAGTGTTATTTAAAATTATTTTCCAGCTGGGCATGGTGGCTCACGCCTGTAATCTCAGCACTTTGGGGAGGCTGAGGCAGGTAGATCACAAGGTCAAGAGTTTGAGAACAGCCTGATCAACATGGTGAAGCCCCACCTCTACTAAAAATACAAATATTAGCTGGGTGTGGTGGCATATACCTGTAATCCCAGCTACTTGGGAGGCGAGGCAGAACAATTGCTTGAACCCAGAAGGCAGAGGTTGCAGTGAGCTGAGATGGCACCACTGCACTCCAGCCTGGGCAACAGAGTGAGACTCTGTATGGGAAAATACAATAAAAAATGAAATGAAATAAAATAAAATAATTTTCCATTTCCCTGGTCTCTCTGATAATCTTGACACAGCTGGCCACCTTGTTCTTGAATTCACCCACTTCTTCAGCCTCCATGCTTCTTCTCCACCTGACTCCTTCCTCAATTCTAGCTGCTACTATGTCCCATTTAAATAGAGCCTCTTACCCTGCTCTAAAACCCACTCTTCACCTTTTATACCCCATGATGTCTTTCTAAAGGATATTATCCAAATTCATGTCATTAGATCTCTTTGCTTGAGTCCTGCTCATTCTTTCAAATACCAGTTTATATACGCAACTGCCACCATCACTGCATAATTAGCACAACTATAAGGGTCCTTTCCCTCCCAATTTCCAATCCAGCTTTCTTTTGACTTTCACATTCCTGTCAATGGCACCATTCCTGTGATTACTTTGACTTCAAATTTACAGGTCACTGACTTTTTTGAGGGAGGATCTCACTCTATCACCCAGGCTGGAGTGCAGTGGCGCTATCATGGTTGACTGCAGCTTCAACCTCCGGGACTTAGGTGATCCTCCCACCTCAGCCTCCCAAGTAGCTGGGACTGCAGGTACACACCAGCATGCCTGGCTAATTTTTTTTTTTTTTTTTTTTTTTGTAGAGACAGGGTTTTGCCATGTTGCCCAGACTGCTATCAAACTCCTGGACTCAAGTGACCTATGTGCCTTGCCCTCCCCCAAAGTGCTAGGATTACAGGCGTGAGCCATCGAGCCTGGCTGAGTCATTGACTCTGACTCCTCTCTGCTTCTCCATTACACTCAGCAAATCTTTCTTGTCTCTCTAGCATCCATCATCTGGCATCAGTGGTCAGTCAATAAAATGTTTCACAGTTGGGCATGGTGGCTCACTGCCAATAATTCCAGCACTTTGGGAGGCCAAGGCAGGAGGAATGCTTGAGCCTACAAGTTTGAGACCAGCCCAGGCAACATGGTGAAACTCTGTCTCTACAAAAATTGGAAAATTAGCCAGGCATGGTGGTGTGCACCTGTGGTCCCGGCTAATTGGGAGGCCAAGGTGGAAGGATCACCTGAGCCCAGGAGGTCCCCGTAGTGATCTGTGATTGCGCCACTGCACTCCAGCCTAGGCCACAGCATGACCCTGTTTCAAAAAGTTTCCCAAATGAATTCTACCCCAGTTAAGTGTCTTTTCAAAAACAAACAACAACAACAACAACAAAATCACACTACTTTGCTGGGCATTCCCACATTCCAACTAAGCTGCTACCTCTCTGTAACCTCACACAACTCCAATTCTTCCCAGGTGCTGTCACTACCCCTTTCTTCCCAAAATCTCGTATCATGACTTTTACCTGCTCAGAAGAGAACTCTGCATTCATGGGCCTCTCCAACATTAACTTCAACAATTTCATTTCCTACCATTTCCAAACATAAATTCTACATTCCAATAAATTTGCACTAATTCATCACTTCCCAGCTTTGTTCACACCAGTTCTTCTCCCTGGACCTTTAGCAAAGGCCATCAGCACCCATCTCACACACACAATCATAGAAAAAGCAGGAAAATACACTGACCTTAGAGCAAGATTTAGCTTGGAACTTTTTTAGCCTGAGGATCTTAGGGCTGCTGTGAGCATTGAATGAAGTAAGAGGCGCAAAAGAGTCATTTGACAAATGGCAGCCTAGCCCAAGCAGGATAATTATTAGGTTTAAAAAAATTGATTTAGAATGGGAAAAGATTTAAAATGAGAAATTACTGTTTTCACATTTCTATAGACACACACACACGTGCGCGCACACACACGCACAAACAATGCATACTTATAAAGACCACAATTAGAACTTTTAGTTTCTCTTGACTGACCTTTAATCACCTGTGACCAGGTACAGTGGCTCATCCTGTAATCCCATTACTTTGGGAGGCTGGGGTGGGAGGATCACTTAAGCTCAAGAGTTCAAGATCAGTCTGGGCAACATAGGGAGATCCGATATCTATCTTTAAAAATCTTAAAAAAAAAAAAAAAAAGTAAAATAATCACCTGTATCACACGTCTGCTCAAGCCTGTCCTTTCTGCCAGTTTCTGGAGTGTCTGCGCATCTGGGTTGTTGTCCTGAGCAAACTGAGCTTGCATAACCTGTTGTTTAAAACATATAAGTAGTAAATCGCTAAAAACAAGCAGCTCAGTCTTCTTCCTGCATTTTTATCATAAGAGATAAGACATGCACAAGAACATGGGATACTTTGATTTTATAACTTGAAAATCAGTATGAGGAAATATGTATAAGTGAAAATGAATGCATATTTTGTAAATTTACACACAAATTGCTATGCTGATAACTTAAAAAAAAATCCATTTCAACATAAAACTTTGTCTCTCAACTATGTTCACCTTTAAAAATAAGCTTACCTTTTCTTTTCTTTCATTTTCATAACCCACAAGTCAAACAGCAGGAGTTTCTTTTTTTTTTTTTCATTTTGTTAAAAACTGTCAACATTCAAAAGCTTAATAAAATACCACAGAGGCTCAAAGCCCCTAATACAACTTTCATTCATCTGCAAATAGTACACAGATCAACAAAAGGATTCCATTTAATTGGAATGACCCCATCATAGTTTTGAGCACTAGCTCTATGCAAAAAAAAAAAAAAAAAAAAAAAAAAAAAAAAGAGTCTAAAAAGAGACACCCATCAGGCCACTGAATAAGAATTTACCAGGGTCTAAACATGTATATGTTTAAAAATCTTACAGGTGATTCTGATGTAAACCTTTGGATTGAAATCACTATGCCAAGTTCTAAAAGATAGAGACATGAAACAAAACTCTTTGGTTTTAATTTCCTGGCAGAAAGATACTGATATGCCAATAACCACCTATAAATAAAAGGGAGAAGAGTAGAGTGGGAGAGAATACCAGAATAAGCCAAAAACTTTGAATTCTTTCAGAAAAGAGAATCGTTATGAGAATTAAGTGAGATACTTAAATTTTATTACTAAAAGTCAGTCAACTGAGGGAAGAATTACACAATGTAAAAAATGTATTATTATAAAGAATGAGAGAGAGGAGTTTGGCACTCAATGGGATTGTGCTTGTCTGCTGGCATAGGATGTGAGCAGCCAATCTATCTGGAGACCTCAAGCACTGCTAGCCTCCATGATCTTTACAGCAGACAAAATTAATTGCATTCTGCACTATGGTCCTTATATAATGCTTTCTTCTGCCACTGCACTTGTTACAGGGTAGCTAAATAACTTGTTTTCAAGTCCACTCTCCATAGTGGAAAGTGAGTTCCTTGAGATCAAAAAGAATGTCTTATTCTTCATATGCCTAGGAGTTAATTAAACTCCCTTTCTGTCAGAGGGTATGTTAAGAGTTTGTGATAGAATAAAACTTGACAATACAGGAAAACCTGAAGATAGTGTATAAAAAAGGCCAATGTTGTTCTGGGAAACCTTTTGAGGTTTATGAATTATATTTTACTTAGTTTTCTCTGATTACTGACCCTTCTAGAATTAAATATTCTTGACTTCCCATCTAGCTATATTGTATCTACAGATCACTATAAACAGAACATGGATGTTTGGTTTTAAAGAAGGGCAGAATTGGCTTAAAAGTTTATTCTTGCTCAGTTCACTTTATTCTTTCTTTCCTACTCCAAATGTGTTATTTTGACATCTCCCCGTGAAAATAGAATTGTGTTTCTATGCAGTTGGACATGTAATATCCCAAAGGGAAAAAGAACACGAAAATTATGTCTTTGTTTTTTAATTTTTCAAATAGAAAAAAGTTGAACAGATTTAGGAATTTGTAAGGTCATTATTAATAATTTACAAAACAGAAACTGCATGCTTTTCGTAAATGCATTTTTAAATTCACAAATTAAACAATGGAACCGAATTATATTTAATGACGTAATTTCTCATTAAAGGGTAAAGCAAAACAACTCTGATAGTTTAGAACTGAAATACTCTCAAGGAAAAGTAAGATAAGTTGATTGTTCTTCTTTTCAATAGTATCAATGATTAGTCTTATACACAGAAAAAGAAAAAAAGAGGTTCTTTTAATTTCTACTTAGCTTCACTATTCTCTAGGCACTCATGCTGCTAAAATCCACTTCACCCCTTTTCCACGTTCTTCTAACATGGACAAGTAGTGAGCCTCTGTAGGCACTCATCATTTTAAACCCAGGAGATCTACCAGAAAATTCAGGAGGCTGCAAAGCAGCAGCTGACCAACTTTATATGAAAACAGACTAAAGAAGAAGCTAACCTTGGTGTTTTAATATTAATAAACATTAAATAAGTGCTTCTACCTACAATTAGCAAGCCATCATATTAGCGTAAACTTCCTAAATATCATTTCTACAAATGGGACAGTATTTGAAATATATTTGCCAATATGTCCTCTGAGTCTTAAACTATTTTTTTCTACCCATAAATTTCTAAAGAATTTTGGAAAATTCTCTTATTTATCCCTTCCATTTTAACTCTCCTCCGTCCAGAGTAGGTACTGACTAGATAGCCTTGACATACTCACTGGTCACATGCAATATTTTATTATCTTCCCCAATTTAAGCTCTACTTGAAAATATTCAGCATTCTGAAAGGTAGAACAGTTTGTGAATCAGGATACATATTGCCCGATTTATTAGATGGTCTGGCTAAAATAAATGATTCAAGGTTTTTTTTTTTTTTTTTTTTTTTTTTTTTTAATATCTATAGCTATTTCAGATTCCTAAATTATAAAGAACCACTTTAGGACAAAGACTGTATCTCATTTGTTTCAGCCACCCCTTCTGTAAGACAAATGCTAATAAATATTGAATGTGAATATACTTTGAAAGCATATGCTTTCAGATTTTAAAACCTATTATTCTGATATACAATTTTTAAAACTTATGGTTCAGTACAACCTGCAGAACCAGGAGCCAATTAAACTTATTAAAACTCTTTTCTTTAAAAATTAAAAAAAACAACAACAACTTGTAATTCAGATCACATTTATATACCATAATGCATGGCTTAAATATTTATGCATGCTTAACCATAAAGCTATCTACAAGATTCAAAATCTCACTCTTTTGTTTAAACTTCTGCTGCTATTAAGTGGAGTTTTGATAAGACAGAGTTCCACTTATGGTCTCCTGGAAGATCAAGCGAAATGAAGAGACCAGAGGTTGGAGGAGAAGGTTCCAAATCTCTTCTCCGCCATTCCCTTGGTGGTTTGCCTTGAGGGGTTCCTGCACTCTTGAATGAGGTTTGTTGTAAAGTTAAAGGAGATAATGTAGATAAATGCTTGGTATAGGACTTGGAATAAAAAGACCTCCGCAAATATTATTCCTGTTTTATTTAATTAGAATTTACAATTATCTTTCCATAGAAAAGTGTCTATCTACAGTGGTTTCAAATTTTCACAATTATAATTTTAATAATAAATTATTATATCAAATAAAAGTTATCAACCCTGTAATTATTAGAATTATAGCCAGCCCTTCAATGGGAACAGACCATTGTAAAAACAGAATTATATTAGAGATTCTATTTTAACTCAGACACCTTTAATGACTGAGAATTTTTCCAGGTCTCTCAGAAGTACTTACATTTTCTGACTTAGGCCATTGTGTGACCTTCATTATAATTCAGTGAAGAACCCAGAACACAAGGCTCAAAGAGAGATATTTCTTTTAATCGCCTTATCTTTCATTTATTCCTTATTGGCCATGTACTTTATGCCTAAATTAAGAAATCTAAAAAATCATCCATTTGGAAAATTCTTCTGAATGGATCTAGATTTTAATGCTAGAGTGCTTCCCACTGCCACGTTCCTTTGGAATGTGTGTGTCACATCAAGGTTTCTTTTCTAAATCATTCTCAAAATAAAAATTATCTCTTGAAACACTTAAATACTGGCAGGTCTTAGAATACTACAGGTAATTTTGGAAAAAAATTACTTTTATTCATTTGGTAACACTGCATAAATGTCCTTTAAAGTCTGAGCTAAAATGGATACTATGTATAAGGTATCTAGCAGTGTGGTAGGTGTTCAATAAATGTTACTTTTCCTTAACATGAAACAAATACCTCAGCCACATTCATCTTTTAGAAAATGTGATTTCATTATCTGCAAAAATGCCAGAAAGAATCATTATATATGTGTGGACTTAAATATGAAGAAAGGAGTAATTTATTTTGACAATTTGTATAGATCAAATTTATGACAATCATATTTAGGGCAACTAAGCTCAAAAAAATCACTCCCATTTCAGGGGACATAATAAATATTTAGCATCAAACTATAGAAGTACTCCCTTTATCACCTTTAAAAACATAAAGGAATCTACTTAGTTGTAATCAACCAGTAGTTTTCTGTTTACATTAAGGCACTTTCAATTATTCCTACTCAAAAACCATACAATTGTGTTCACTAAATGACTCATTGCAGTTTGTTAAAAAGACTAACACATTAGCGTCCCATAGACTCACATACTGTATGTCTCTTTTCAGAGTCTCAAAATATTTTGTCTTTCATTGCAATTATGGGTATTAAGATAATTGCCTGGTTCTGAATGATGTTATCAGGAAGTCAGAACAAAACATTTTGTTTCCCCTTTGATGTTGATACCAATAGACCCCAGGGAAACAAAGCTTGAATGACTATTTCATATCATATTATGATGTTAGAAATACTGACAAACATTTTTGGGCAATAAATATGTTTTCATATATTCACCAAATTAGTTTTCATAAAAGACATAGGCTAATTTTTTAAGAAAACATAAAAATGTTTTTAGGCGGCATGGAGATTGCCTTTTTTTGGGGTGGGGGGGGCTTCAAAAATCAAAATTTCATTGTTATGCTTACCTGAAGCTGATCTGCTGTAAAGCTGGTCCGAGCTCTTTTTGCTGGTTTTGGATGGTTAACATCTTGCTCTGTGAGGAGGGCGCCTTCCACACTAATCCCATTACCTGTATTTAAAAAACATACTATACATGTTGGTACTTCAAATGGGTACACCCATCTTGCAATAACAGGTTTCTTATATCTCTTGGCTTTTTGTGTAATTGTATATGTTTTGTTAGATTGTAAAACCCCTTAAGTTTTAAAATATACTACAGATATACTGCACAAAAAATATTCCATTTACAGGCTTGTATATTTAGTGAAAAGTTCAAAAAGTTAGAAGTATGTATCTAAGGCCCAGCAAATACAGGAAAATAAGTATTTACAAAAAGAAGAGCAAAACCCTAACTCAAAGCTGCTGCCTGAGAATATGGCATAAAACTTATACATACACGGTGGCTTTCGTTATAAACAAACAAATAGAGACCATCAAGAACGGTAGAGTACTTAGTAAGTTTCACTACCATTATACGTTGTACAAAATAATGCATTAAGTGACCTTAGGAAAAATTATTTTTATTTTTGTATTCATTGTCTCAAAATACTCAAAAGTATTTAAGTACATATTTACCATTTTCTACTTCTCTTTTTAAATTATCCAGCATGCAATCATAATGCACTCTGCAGAGGACTTTCTCTTCCACCAAAGCAAACTCCTCTCCTGTGGAAAGTTGCCTTTTGCAGGAAAAGCAAGCGAAGCACGCCAAGTGATAGACATTCCCCTTGGCTCTCCGGACCCAATCAGTAGAGTGGATGTGTCTCCCACATCGAGAGCAGCGAGTTCCATACCTTCTACATTAAATAGAGGTGTAGAAGGTAAAGATTTTAATTCCTGGTGAGATATTCATCAGTTGAATATTAAACCAGCACATTATGTTGCCACATTGAAATAACCTAAGTATTTAAATATTTTGAAAATGAAACAAGAATCAAGTATTTTTCTAAAAGTCAATATGGTATGCAATCAAGCTGAGATAGTCACAACTCAAACTTGTTTATATAAATAAGACCTTCTCTCTGTTCCTATAAAGAAGATTGAGCTTGTCTTTTAAAATGAGTTTTAAAATCCTTTTTGTTGTATCAAATATCAGTCCATTTATAAATTTACTTAAGGTAAACACACATATTATCCAGACTGAAAATCTAAAAGTGCAAAATTATGCTGAAGATATTTATACTGAAAAACTGAAGATATACATAATGACTTCTTAAAACCAAGTTAAAATGATTAGAAAATGATTTAAATATCATTTTTAGGATGTTAAAACATGTAAAAACTTAACGTTGAAATTATCAAAGAATGTACAGAACTGAAATTCTTGACCTTGGTGGGTGAGAATGGAAAGGTCAGAAATGTTTCCTTTGGTGAAAAATCTATTGTATTGCTATCCAGAGGAGGAAGGAAATATTATCTAAATTTTCAGAGTCCTAAATGGACACTAAATGCAGGTCAATCTTAAAATGCCAAAGCTATATGTAAATATTTCTTTTTTTTTTTTTTCTTATAGCCTGAGTGACTAGACACTCTTTGTCATGTTTCCTACCACAGTTACAGTCGTGGCCTGGCATGCCCAAATCACACTAGATTAGTCAATGTCTATTTATTGATAGATACATCTTTAAAGCTATCACCAGTTTGTTTAGTTACTCTGAAAAACAGAATCCTGACGATTAATTTCAGAATATAATACAACATGAAGCAAGGAGTTAAAAAATCCTAAAGAAATAGACTTCCACTTGTCCAATCTTTCAAACCAAACCTTTCAAAGGGCTTTAAAAGTTACTACAAAAAAGTAAAATTAGCCTATCCCAAGTGAAAGAGGAAGCAAATTATTACCATCATTGAAGTAATGAAGAATAAACCTGCTGAGAAATATACCTTTTTGGTAATTGTAAAATTCTATGATTTTATAAAAGACTCTGGGTTTCATAAATTACTTTAAATTACCCAGCAATTTTTATTCAAATTAATCACTAAACTCCTTGAAATCATTTTTTGAAATATAGTATAAACATATGTAGTATTATAACCTTCATTATATAGTATTAATTTTCCCATTTCACAATGAACATTTATTTTTTCTTCATTTAGAAAAGTAAATAAAGAAAAAATGTTTTAATTTTTAAAAGTCATTCTTGAGAATTAATTTCTAGGCAGCTGTTCATACATAATTATATCTTGGAAGAAACCTTACATTTAAACTATAAAGAGATCACACAGAGATAATGTTATATCTCATCTAAATATAATTTCAGAAACTGAAGATCGGAGAAAAGAAATAGTTTTAGGCGGAATTAGATTTGGTGTATTTATGATACCAGAATGGTCAATTCTTCTGAATAACATGGTTTATCATGGTATCCAAATCCTTAGAATTTTATGGGTATATATCTAGGGATCAGTCTATGGTAAATGGGTAAAAGCATAATAAAACCTTGATTTTTATCCCCCATAATGATTTTATTTCATCTAACCATTCCCACCAAACAAGGGCTTTGTCATAAGTCATCTTATATTTCATACTTCATACCTATGCACAGCAAAAAAAGTTTCCCTGTTTGTAATGCCTCAAACTTTCACTCCCCAAAGTGGAAATATTACTTAAAATTAACTTTTGTCTACTGAATTCCTAAAAAGGGTAAGCATGCTTATTTAATACAAATTATACCACAAACATGAAAGCACCCTCATTTTGAAATCTATTAAATAAGAAAAACTGGGCTTCATTAAATAAAACTGAACAAGAAAAAGCCTATCACAGAAGTCTCTTTGCATAACAATTTCTTGAAGCATCTACTAAGAAACGGCTTCATAGCATACCTGAAATAATCAAGTTTGCAGAAAATGTCTTTGTCTTTAATATAGCAGCTGGTGTGCCTTCCTAGGGAGGTTCTGCAAACACTGCAGGAGAGACACCGGACATGCCAGCATAGGTCATTCACCTGCGAAGGGAGGAGAAGCCACTGTAATACCATATTTAAGAAAAGTATTCATTGGCTTTGTGTATTGGGCAATTTGAAAAACTGGCCCTGAATATATTAACACATGCTCTGAATGTTTTCACCCCAAAGGTGTCATTTTTGTAAACATGGTTCTGAATATATTCTCTTTTAGACCTCAACCAAAAAAATTATACTAATATATGCCACATTTTGTGTTTATATATGTTTTTTATTCCTTTGAAGAATTCAGGTTGCTTTTTCTTTCTATCTTAAATGGAACCTTCATGAACACAGGCAACATTTTGGTCACTTTAAAGTCTTAACATATATTTTACCAAGTTCTTCCCCCCATAAAACCTCATAAAGAGGACAAAGTACCTACTACTCAACCTATTTTTTTGGCTAAACCATTATAAACTGTATACCCACTAAACAGCAATAAAGAAAGTGAAAAAGCAGCTTTGTAAGACAGTCACCCTTACAAGACATAAATTACTAAGATAAATTTAAAGGTTGATGTAGCAGAAGCCTGGGCTTTCTTCTAACATTAAGCAGCTGTACAGAAACAATAGAAGTAGGTAGTAAAGTATATTGGTAAAACTGCTTACTGATTTTGCTACAGGAGAAAAAAATAAATCTAACCATAAGTGGTTCTAAAAAAGCACCCACACATTGTTTTTCACTTCCACTTCAAGTACTAAAACATAAGATGGTGTTTAATAAGGCCAGTATTTTATACTTTCTAAATAATAATAAGAAATATTGTTAATTCAGGGAATAAGTCACAATTACTCTCACTTTAAACTGTTGCCATCATATTAGAAGGACTACAACTTTAGCCCTGGAGTATGAAGATGTGTATTAGACAGAACTGACCTGCATGCAATGCAGGCTCCCAAAGTTTGCTCTTGTTAAGTGGACACAAGAATTGGTTTTATGCTTAATTAAATTTCATGTAAAAGAACAGTAACATATAAAAACACCAATTACACCCTAAAAATGGATTCAATGATTAAAATAGGAAAGTAAATAACTGTGAGATATGACTTTTGCATGACTATTTCATAATAAAGACTATGTATCCAATGATTTTATCAAATTAGAACTACTGTCCAACATGTTTTTCTGTGATATAACATATAAAAGGTGCTTCAAAGCCGAAAGTTTTACTGACTTGTAAAAGTCAGTAAAACTTTATTACAGTTTTGTGTCTCTTTCCAAAGCATTAATGAGAGTCTCATTCTGATGACATTTTAAAAGTTTTGGTCTTTCTTTGCAAGAACTTAGAACTTACATGCCCACTATAGACAGTATTTAAATAAGAAAGAAAGCCAAGGAAACTGGAATAAATAATATTAACAATGTTGAATACTGTCTTGGAAGAAGTCGTTTCCTTATAATTTTTTCCTAAAATGGGACCAACTAGTATAAAGTTTAGAAAAACAGGCTTCCTTTAGAATTCCACTGTTTAGGGCTTTCTGTATTTCAGTCTTACCCAGGATTTTGTTTTGTTTTGTTTTTAAAGCAAGGCTTTAGGGCAAGAGCCATGGCCCCTCTCTTACTCCCTCCTAAAACCAGACCTGGTTGCCACCTTTTCTTAAAGTTTACTTTCCTCCTAAAATGTCCTTTTATCTTCCAGTTCTTTGCCAGGGAGTAAACTAAGGTGAAGAGAGGAGATTCTGGAGACTGTAAACCTGCTATTGATCTAATCTGTATACATCTAAACATACAACCAAGCCAGAGAAAACACCTGAAGGACAGAGTACTGAGGTATCTATCATATGAGGCAATAGATGCATCCAATTCCTGTCATACTTTTCTATTCTAACTCCATTTTACTTGCCCCACAAGATGGTGTTTTTCTATATTAGTTACATCTTCAAATAATATTTCTATACTAGGTCTAACTTTTTTTTTTAATCAGTGATTCAAGTTAAACTCAAACTTATCCGCAGGAAGTACTCAAAATGGAAAAATAGTTAATAATTCAGTTTTTGTTAATCATATAGTATCAAACTTTAGTTAGAACTTACACACTAAAGCATACAAGATGTGGTAGAGTAACACTGTACATGGAAGACTTCATTGAGAGGACTCCTGCCCTATTACAAAGGAAAGCTTTATTTAACTCACCAAGTTGGATTTTTATGCAATACAAATATATATAAACATATACAAGATTAACGCTAGAAACTACTATTTCAGAGGGTGTGTAAAATGTCATTCATCATAACCCTTCTATGTCTTCTCTGCCGTGAAGAGTTAGAATCTTCATAGATCTACTGTACTTAGAAACATTCTTACAGATTACACTAATTATTGAGAGGGCTCATTAAAAATAAGAAGCTAGTTTTAACCCAAAAGATGATTTTGCAATATCCAAAGGCTCAGTTTTAGCAACATTGAAAGTGGAATTTTAAGACTGCAGATTTAAAGAGAAAGCCAATGTTAATTTTCAAGCTTTAAGAATCAACCACCAAGGCAAATGAATTTAGTCATTTTTAAATCTTTTTACTAAAACTTCTTTAGGCATTTTCTCTAGGTTTTATCTATAGGGTAGTACTCCCATTTTACAGACTAAGCAGCTTTGTATGTTGAGGTAGAAGTTTAAAGAAACCCACTAACACGACTGTTGAACACATACTCTCCATAATTAATCCTTTTGGAAACCTAAGCCGGGAGGGGAGAGAATAGGTGGTGAACTGGTTTGCTACTAATTCAGTGTAGGAGAGACCATTATTTTAAATAGTGGTTTTAAAAAGTTATTTAAGTTGAAACCCCATGATATTCTGATTAAGACACATGGGACCATGATCCTGTCTGCACTGAGGTGGATGACTGTGGCCTGCCAAAATTTCTATTGCAAAATTCCCCCACAATATTTTAAGAGAAAAGTAAAACAAATTAAGACAATCAGCTCTCAAACCACCACTTTGAAACACTTCTTCCCAGGCTGTGTGTGTCTAACTTTACATCAATTTCCATTTTTTTCCCTAAGCACTGGAGAGTACATAAAAACAGCATTTGAGTGCCCTAAAAGTATTAAACTTTAATAAGAGGAGGAAGGTACTGAAATAGTTTTTATTTAAATGCTCCTATAAACGTTTAGGTACTTTGTAAAAGCCTCAGGTAACTGTAAAAAACATGGGACTATATTTTTTAAATTTGTCCATAAAAGACCCTTTAAGCTACTTTACAGTGACTCTCACCAAGAGACACTGCAAAGGGGAATCAGTTAATACATACCGTCGTAAAATGCTTCTAAGCAGGCATGGGCGTGGGCGTTACTGGGGTGGAGAGACCACAGTCAGTTTAGAGGGAACAAAGATATTTAAGAAAGGAATGATCCGGGGCTGGGTAAAGAAAAGCAGGTTTCTGTCTCATAATGAACAAGGGCTTTTCCACTTCCCTTCCACTACAAGTGGGTAGCTGACTCCAGCGCATCCACACGCATCCGGCGCGTCCAAACCAGGATGTGTCACACATAAGCTGCTTTGCAACGACAAGGAAGAGTCTGGGGTTTCTTCTCACTTTATCCCATTGGATGAGTTGCCCTAAATTGGTCTGATTTTCCGCGAAAGCCTACAACCTCCATCCAGAACTTGAACGGAAAGGTTGGTGGGAGGAACATTTCTCTTTTCTCAGAGCTCCTGCTACCCTCTCACCCCCTGGGCCTCGTGCCCGAGGCCCTGTCGTACCTTGAGAAGGTATTTGTCCACGATCTCCAGGCCGCAACTGTTGCACACACACTTGCCAGGGGGGCAGCCGGAGCCCGAGGCCATGGACCGGGGCGAGGACGACGGGGACAGTTGGGCCGAGGAGGAGCAAGAGTCCTCGTCCCCCGCTCCCTCGGGGCTCACCTGCAGGAAGCCGCCAGGCGCAGGAGGTTCTAGACCCCTCCTCCCCTTCGCATCCCACCTACCCAGAGGGGCACCCCCACCGCCTCCCCTCCCTTCCCCACCGCCTCTACTCCCTTCCCCTTCGCCACCCCACCCCCAGCTTCTTGAGGTTAAGATTCTCGCCCTCTTCCCCGAGTCCAAGCTCTGGCCATGCACCCGCTGGGTCTGCCGACCCCTGGCCTCTTCGGAACCCGGGAGTCTTGCGGCCGTGCCCTCTTCGCGGGCCAACTAAGCGTCCCACCCCACTTCACCCCACCCCCGCCTCGCCCCGCCCCGTCCTCCGTCCTGCGTCCTCAGTCCGCTCCCTGAGGGGCCAGCTGGGCCGTGGAAGGAGCGCGGGGACCGCGGCCCCTAGTCCTGCGCGGCCTCCCCAGGGCCAGTCTTGCCAGCACCCGAGCCCCTCCGCACTCACCAGTCCCTCTTCCCCGGCGCCTTTCCGAGTTCTCCCGGCCGCCAGGGCTGTAGCCCGCCCGCACTCCTCCGACATGAGCTCCTGGCACTGCGGGGTAGGAGAGGGAGAAAGTATGGAAAAACAGATCAAAAGTTCCGAGCGTGCCGCGCGCCCCAGCCTCCGCGCGGGGAGCGAGCTAATGAAGGCCCTCAGCGCGCGGTGCAGCGCTTGTAGCCGTCACGGCGCCAGAGCCCGGGCGCCGCGGGCGGGCTGGCGCGCAACCTCCCTCGCCGGCCGCTGGCGGCCGCCACCAGAGCGCCAGTGGCTCGCCCCGCACGCTGCGGCGCTCACCGGGCTCCGGGTCCCTGGCGCTCACCCCGGCTCGTCGGTTCCCCGCCCCCGCCGCCGGGGATAACAAGTTAATAACAATCATCCCCGCACAAAGCGCTTTCTTTCCAGACGTCAATCATCGCGGAGCGGGTAACACCGGGCTAAAGGGGGTGCGGGGCGGGAGGAGGTGGAGTGGGAGAGAAGAAAAGAGGATTGAGGAGGGGGTGGGGGAAGAAACTTGATTTCTTTAATAACCTCAATTAAAAGAGCAAGACACATATATATTTTTAAAAGGGGGCTTTTTGGATAGGATAGCCCGAAAGGTGAAGAGGTTTAATAGGATACTTGAAAGCTAATTACAGCGGGATTTAAGAAGCCTGGTGTTTGTTCCGATGACAATTTGAATGAAAATGCTTCAGATTAAACCGAGCCAGCAGCTCTTTCGTAAACTTACAGCAATTACAGTCGCGAGTGATTTATACTCGTTTCTTTAAGGTGTAAATTGCCACTTATGGCTCAGTAAGTCAACATTTGAGCTACTAAAGGATTATTTTTAACCAGCGCAAAAAGCGGGTCGAATAATGGAAAATATCCAGCTGAATTCAATTTGTGCCATTAAAAGAACTCACCCAACCTCGGTCAAAATGTTTTAAAGAAACAACGCGCATTATTCAAGTGTTTCCAAGTCTTTGCTGGAGTTTTGTTCTTAAACCAAAACGCAGGGTCTGTGGGCTTAGACCGCTTTCGTTTCCAAAAACGCTAGCTCGGGGGCTGTTGGATCCCCCGAACTCGAACGGCTCACATTTCTACTTTTCTGACTCTTCGCCTCCCTTCCTCCCTTCCTCTGGAAGCACCAGGCAAGATACCAACCTGGGGGCCTCCCGGACCCTCTGGCGAGACCCTTCCTTTCTGGGGTGCGCTCCCTACGGTGGACCCAGCGTAGCTGCACTGAGGCCGCGTCCTCACACACAAAGGGCGTTTAAGCAGAACAGCTCAGTGTTCGCCGGGTGTCCCCAACAGACTTCGGAGCAAAGAGAAAGTCAGGGGCGCCCCGCGCGGGTCCTACTGAGGCCGTCAGACAGGCTGCAGATGATTTCAAACTTAAAGCACCAGACACCCACAGGTAGTGCCTCCAGAGTGAGGTGAGAGCTTGTCAGGTTCCCCAATATACTCAGACAAACCGCGTGACTCGTTTTGTGCCCTGCGGCTTACTTTTGACATTTTAGGTAAAATGTCTCTCCCGGCCAGCCCTGGGATCCCGGAGGCCTTTCTGGAGCTCCGCAGCGGGAGGTGCGCCTCAGGGCTCGCTAATGTCCCTGGGCAGCCAGCCGAGCGAAACTAGTCTGCTCTCGGGTTCCACCCGACAGCCGCCCGGTCCTCCCGACCCACTCTCCCTGACCGCCGCGATCACCACAGCAAATAGAACAAAAGCACGACTCACATGGACCTGAGAGCGCCTTAGGCTCAAGGCTTCATCTCCCAAATTACAGTCTCCATGTCTCAGGTTAAGTGAGCTTTTGGGGAGGGAGGGCAAATGGTTACTGACTAACGCTACTACGTAAAAAAAAAAAACGAACTGTTGAGCAAAAAAATTGCCAGGTCTGAAGATGAGGCCGTTATAGGTAGTTTTTGAACCTCGTTTAGGAGCCCAAACAACTCGAGTTTCATGGATACTGAGATTCAGCTGGTTTGGCCAGGCGACGGCTCGCTCACCTTCTCAGGGGGAACTGCCAGCTCCGGCACGTCCTTTTCTTCTAGTTTACACACAAACATCTGATCGCTCTTCCAATACATGGCACTGCTAGGGCTGCTTATCACATACCAACTCCAGAGGGTCAGAGGCTGTCCGTGTCTGTCGATCTCCCTCCTCCCCCGCCCCGGTGCACTAATAAAAGCTGATGCCGAGGAAGATAATGCTACAAATGTGTCTTCGTCCAAAGAGGCCGCTGTGGCCTGACCACGTTCTGATGAACCGTTCTTAAAATTCCTTTCCCAACTTCACTGAGCTCTGTCCCTCCAGGAAAAGAAAAAAAAAAGTTTTGTTTTCCAGAGGGTGGAACCTAACATAAAGGGAGGGGGCGTGTAGGGGAAAGGCTTTTCTGGAGAAATAGCCTCACCTCTTTAAGAAAAACCCGCCTTCTCTACATGTTAAGATCTTTATCAGGACACACCAACTGACTTCAGGTTTAGCACTAAAGAAAAAAAAATTGGGGATGGCCCGTTAACTTGACTTAAAAAAAAAAAAAAATCTGCTGCCTGCATTTGCCATGACTTTTAAATTCTCGCTCCCCAACCAAACCTAAACAAAGATTCAGGTTACATCTCTTTCTGCAGCAAGCAGAAGGGGAAGTGGAAGTCTGGGTGACTTGAACGTTTTAGTCATTCTCTTGAAACCCGCAGCTCTCCGGTCTAGCCGAGGAACGCCACCGCTCCCGGCAGTCTAGGGACTGACTTACCTAGCAGTTCGCGCTCCCTTTGCGAAAAGTTTTCTCATTAAGATAAAGAAGGAACATCTGAGCAACACAAAAGCTTATGATTTGCGACTAGCTTTGAAATCAAGGCTACAAGAAAGACAAAAGTATGTTGCTAATGAGTATTGCTCTTTCATCTCCTAGACAAAATTTAAGCCCTAGCATCAGTCTTCTGCTGCCTCAAGTTCTGACTGCGGGTGGGGGAGAGGCGGAGGGAGGTACTCAGGGTACCGTAATTTTGATTAAGATTGGAAGGTGTGCTTGTTTAAATAGATTCTTGACAGCATAAGCTTTATTTCATTATTTAGTGTATAAGGACAAATTTGGTTAAAATATTATTTTAAATGATTTTTTTCATTTTAAAAAACTAAACAAACTTCTGAAATTAACAAGATTTAGGAGTCTATTTCTTAGACGACTTTAACAAAATCATAGGATTTTGTTTAATTAGATGGAAATATATATGTAACACACACACGCTAACACACATACACACATATCTTGTATCCTTGCCTCATTTGTCTAGAAGAGAAAGATCGAAAGGATCTTGCCCAGACCCCAGATAGATCAGTAGCCGGCTAGCGGAGGAGACAGGTAGACTTTCTGTGTTGAAGTGAGCCTGTGTAAGAGCCTGGGACCGAGTTACCGCTGCAAATTTAGTTTTTCCTCCATTGCATTTTTCTCCCATAAACACTAGAGTCTTCAGAGTATTTTCCTATCGCCATTGTTTTTGTTTTCGCGCAGCTGCGCACAAGTTAACATTAGCCATTCTCCTGCCGGTCCTCTCTGGGAGACCTCGTTTAATTTACTGAGCGAAGGGTGGAGGACGTTATAATTAATCTGTGCCCTCTTAGAAAATTGAAAGATTAGAGTGGACTGACTTTCCAAAAAGCTAACTTGTGCGTGGGAACCAGAAAGACTTGTGTTTTTCATCAAGTGCAAAAATCGGTGTTGGGGGTGGTGGGGAAATTCACATAATGCATTTTCGAGAAACGGCATTCTTCTGGAGACCGCTCTTCCGAATGGAAAGTCAGAGTCGTGCAGAACATTGGCGCCATCAGGTCGTGTATAGAGCAGGATTTCGTTGAAAGTGGAATTCTAAATATAAATGTCCAGTTTGGATATTTAATTACTATATGTGTGTGTCTGTTAGGCTTTAAAGTGAGTTTGGGGTACTGCCTGGCTACTATCGAGGAGAATTTATCGCGAGGGTCATTTGGAGATCCAGAGAGCGCCAGAACTGAGTTAGGGAAGCAGGGCGGGGGTGCGGGCGTTTATGCGGTCTTTTCACCCACCCTCGCCTAATCAGGCGGCTCTCAGTCAGATTTTCAAAATACTAATCTTGATCTAAGGGCTTCTATCGCTGCATAAGTGGAGAAAATGATTCATTTTTAGAGATTTCTGGGTCGTCAGACAGGAGCAGAAGACCTGAAAGATTGGTCTGGCCTCGCTTTACTCCAGGCGCCCTGAGGGATGCTGACTGGTCCCGCGGTGCAGCTGCGCGCACCCAGCCTTGAGCTGTAAGCCTCTGGGCGGTGAGTCAATTTCTGTGTCGCCGGCGATATAAGACTTTGGCTATGGGTCCAGTGTGCAAGAGGAGGGGGATGTGTTTGATACGAATCCCGGGCTGATTGTCCTGTCAGTCAGGGGTCCAAAGACCTTCTGACCTTTTGTCAGGGGTGGGCACACAGAGGTATAGCCTCTTCATGGTGGCTCTGTTCCTTGGAGCTCGCGTCACACCTCTTACCCATCCTCGTCCTTGGCTGGGGCAAAGGAAAAGTTATCTTGCTACTTTACAGGGGTGCTTGGGCTAAAAATCAGAAGAGTTTTTTGGTTGCTTGTTTGGTCTTGGTAATGAGGGTTTTTGGCCGAAACTCCAATGGATTCCGATTTTGAATGAAGACTGATTAAAAAAAAAAAAAAAAAAAAAATCTTGTATGTCCGCAGGTGGGAAAGGAATCGCCTGCGTCCTGACAATTCCTACCTACTAAATTGAAAATTTGAAATCAGAGACCGCAGGCCCACCCAAGGTGTCTACCAACACCCGTGGACTACAGGGCTTTTTGCAAGCCCAGGGTAAAGACAGCGTGAGAGACTTCGGCGCGCATCCTGTCCCAGGCTGTGCCTCTCCTGCTCAAGGGAAGCCTAGAGTATATCTCCCTAAAAACCGATGGGGGAAGGGAAGGGGTCTATATCCCATGGAGCCAGGCCTTGATTGGAGGTCGGGGGCTGGAGAGGGGGAACACCAACCCTCCCTGACCCCCACAGCTTCCACTCACCCGAAGAGCTGCCTAATTGGCCTGCGAGCAGCTGCGAAATTTGTAATCGTCTAATAAGCCTTCCACCTCGGTAATTCTTATCAAAAGGCATAAAACTGATATTTTCACACTCAGTTCGCACTGCAGGCGCCGTTTATAAACATCCTTCTTCAGTGGGATAAAATTAAGCCTGTATTGCCAGAGGTCTCTGGAACTCGATATTTAAAAGCAATAGATCCGAATTAGCAAATTATAACTTTAAGTAGAGAAAGTCCCCACCAACTTGAGTATTGAACCCTTTGCCTCTGAGCTCCTCGCGGTGAGTAACCACACGTTTGAGAGAACTTAACTTGGAGGTTTCGCGGTGCTCAGGCAATCTCCGGAATCTCGAATCCCCTAAACTACGCCTGCTGAGGCTCCTCCCGCCCGCCTTCTAGAGACTCGCCTGGGTCAGAGTTGTGGAGACCGGCGCGAGGCACAGCTGGAGCCTTGGAGAAAACGTGGTCAAAGGAGGTGCATCCAGGACTCCCGGGCCTGCAGGCGCAGTACTAGCGCCCTGCTATTGCGGACCGGATCTTCCCCGGCCCGCGGCCCTCGCCGTCCACCTCAAGGGCACCAGCGCCAAGGGTACAGTCAGACAGAGGACTGTAGGAGGCAGTGGAGGAGGGAAAGACTTTCACCACCAAAAGAAGGTGCAGATTCTGGCAGAATTCCGGTGGCGACTCCTTCGATCCCTGAAGGTGAAAACCACTCTGAAACTGCGGATGTCACACTTGGTTCAGGGTTAGGAGACGGTGTCTTTGGATTTTTGCCCATCCCGTGTAACCATTATAAATATTAATTTGGAAAAAGAATTTAGGAGTTTGCATCTAGAGGTTCTTCCCAAAAACTTGCGCTGCTCAGAATCTGCATAAATCCTCAGAGATGGCAGAGCTGGAAACGCGCTCACCTTGGGACTTAATGGTCCCAGACTCCTTTATAAAGACCTTGCCACCTACAGTTTCTGAGGGTAAGAGAGCGGCGCGTTTGTTCACGCCAGTGAGGTCGCCAAAAGCGGGCGAGGACCTCTGTCTGGGACCCACTGATTTTTCCCCAACTGTGGGCCAAGACTGAGGTTTGATGGGCTTCCCAGCTGGGCAAGACTACTTCTCGCGGGACACCCGGGAACTCAATCTACTGGCCTAGAGACCTGGCCTTCGCTACTCGCCCCACGGCATCCCTCACTGCAGTCTGATGCGCCAGCTGGGACCAGTTGTCTCGAGCGGTTCTGGAGAACCAATAATAGAAAACCAAGTTCTGCGCCCGAGAGTCTGTATGAGTGACCCGGTGTTTCTTTTCAGCGGGTGCGCTAGCCCAGCTAGAGCGCCAGTAAGCTCTCAGGGCCGGTAAGGAAGGAATAGGGGAAGCGTTTCCAGTTTGATAAGAGAGAGGATGGGAGAGAAAGAATTAGGAGCCACATGGAGCCCGAAATGAAGCAAGGCAGCCTGGAAAGCTTCCCGCCTTTATGGCGCGACACGCAAAAGTCCATTACGCTATTATTCATTGTGACATTTCCAAGCCGACAATCGCGCCTTAAGCACGCCTGTGGTTTGGGGCTGCCGGTTTTATATGCATTTTACCATTTAGAATGATAAACAAATCAAGACCAATGGAAACTTGATTCTAACCTGTTTCTACAGACCTCTGCCCGCATAACTCTGTAAAAAACAAAGTTCAAGGTGGAGAAACAGAGAGAGAGAAAATTCAACTCTCTATCCGCCTTCCTATACCGTGTTTCCCCTACAAGTCCTTGGCGAACCGGGCAGATATAACCTGGAGTTCGCAGATCAAGAAGGAGGATGAAACCCAGACCCCATAGGCTTCTGCTCCCCTTCCACATCCCCGTTTTCCCGCTTTCCCAGGGATCTCTAAAAGCTCAACTCGGTCAGTGTGGCAGGAAAGCCAAACTTTATCTAAGTGCAAAAACGCAGGCACCAGATGGTATTTCTTGGTCCTGGGGATGGGGTGAGAGGGAGAAGTGGGGCTGTGTGAGCCTCCTATTCACAGGCTTGGATGGATTTTGATAAGGAAACTCTCAGCTCAGATTGTTAGCCAGTGTGAATGAGCCCCACACAAGCCTGTGCCATCCTGCCACAACTTTGGTGTCTAAGGTTCTCCCCAGCAACACGTCCACCTCCGATGTAACTCATAAAACTATGCTTTTACAAAAAAAGTTGGCCCAAGAATCTTGAGCCAGGTCCGTCTCAAAAAAAAAACAAAAAAAACAA